TATATATATATATTAAAGAAAAAAATGTGCATAGACGCAAGTTTATTTCATATATGCTGATTCATCTCATTAATCAAACTGTCGTAAAGAGGTTAATTAATGTATTATTAAAGTATTATTATCCTATCCGCATGGATTCTTGTTGTTCCCCCGTAAAATAAGAGCTGAATATTCATAGATTCTTCTCATGTAAAATATATTTCCATTGGATAAAAAAAATTCACCGTCAAAACACTAATTTCAGTATGAATGAACAATCCTTTGTAGGCATTATGCCCGCGAAAATACGAAGCTTTGGTATCGTAGGCTTTCCGCCATTGCTAATGAATCTGCGTTGTACTGTTGTACCTTTTTGCCCTAAATTAGCCAATTTCCTTTAGGTATTTCATATTCCCCTTCTACATACTCATAAAGTTATATGTAGTCAACATTTACTGAGGGTTATTGTTTGATTTAATGTTAATTTAAATACACACAAGAATCTAAAACACACGCTTGTAGATTTCTCTTCCAGCAGGTAAGAAGCAGGAACGTACCATTATTTATTAATTACCCCTAACAAATTTAGCAAGTCTAAATGATAACAAAGGTTTCTTAAGTTCACTTCGCTGCAGTGAATATGAGCCGATTAATTTGATTGTTGTTGCAAAAAAATGGCCTAAGAATTCATATAATAATAATAATAACCAATGTAATAAATATTATTGTTGTTGCTGTTGCTGTTGTTGTTGTTATTGTTATTGTTGTTGTTGTATTAAACAGCAACATGTTTTACGTTTTTTAAGTCTATCACATTATTTTACCATAATGTAATTTTACATGAAATCAAATTTATTCATTTATATCAAAATTCTTTTTTGATTTGCTAGGTTGATTTTAGGGTTCCACATATTGTAGTAGAAACAGAAGTGTTCGACGAGCTCAGAACAAGGAATGAAAAATTGTCTGTAAGCTGGAACAAGGATGTAGACAGTGGTAAGGCAACATCCGAAGGCACCCCGGATGAAAGCAGCTTCATTGAAAAGTATACTCCATTACAACTGCTGAACGACCAAGTCTCGGCCAATCGCATGCACACACACCGAGGCCTCATAACCGAAAGTTCTGATGATAGTGATGAAGACTGTGTGGGAAGTAACCATGGTAATGGAGTTGGCATTGGTGAAGTTTCATTTCTGAATTTAATTTATGAGAATAAATTATTGTTGAATGAAAACATGGGAAGGAAATTACACATGTATGTTAATGATGACTGTAGTGATGATGATTATGATGATGATGATGATGATGATGATGATGATGATGATGATGATGATGATGATGATGATGGTGGTGGCGGTGATGATGGTGGTGATGATGATCATGATAATGATGATGAAGTAGATGATAATGATGACGATGATAATGACGCTGACGGAGACGTAAGCAGAGACGCCGGCTTCGGAGATTATGCCAACGATGATGCCAAGGATGACAACAATCAGAACACTCAGTATTGATGATAACAAACAAGGTACATAATCTCAACTTAGCTGCCAATGAAGTGTCAATACAACATAAGAACTAAATAACAGGGCTAAGATTTTTGGCGTGCATACGCTGTTTGTTTTGTGGGACGTTAGCAACAATATCCCATGTATTTACTTTAGCTAAGGAAATGAGATTGACAACTATGGGGAATTAAATGGTCTGATTTCAATCATGGAGATCAGCTTTTGCCGTTTACAAAATAGGCATTTTTTTTTTCTTAACTTTGATAGTGCAACATAGGCTACATACGAACTATTTTGATATAAGTACAGTATACTTATTTATTGGATATTAAATATATAATTATAATGCATGTTAAGTATGTAAAAACAGGTGACTGGTCTGTGACAAGTGTTTATTGCTTAGAATTGATGTTCATTTGCAATAAAAGTTACCTAATATAATTATGTGTTTAGCATGGTGGGTTTTTTGTTTTTGTTTTTTAGTATTCGCTTTTTTAAAACCATATTAACCATATTAACACACTTGAAACCAATTATTTAATTTTTCACAATTATATA